TGTCATTGAAATGCCTTGATTCTTTGTCGGCATCTACATTTGTAGACCCTGGGATATGTGTTGCAGTAAGGTGCACCCCATGCTCAATGCACCAATTCCAAACTTCCTTTGCAAGCTTGTTGACCTGGGTGGACTTTGTCCCCCCCATGGAATTTACATAAGCAACAGCTGTTGTATTATCCATAAAGGCTTGTACATGCTTGTGTTGCAAATTTCTATAGAATGATTTTAAACCCATGAACAAAGCTTTAAGTTCTAAACTATTAATGTGTTTTTGGGATTCGAGGCTAGTCCATCGCCCCCCAATTGCAGTTTTAGTTACTACCGCACCCCATCCCATCTTAGATGCATCTGTGTGGATGGTGATATCAGCCTTGGGTCTCTCAACCGGCTTAAAAGCATTTTCAATATTATCAACCCACCACTGTAGGTCTTCTACGCATTCATTATTAATGGCAACCAGTGCCTCAAAGTTTCCTTTGCTTGATTTAAGCGCTTCAGATTTTAACATTTCTAATGACCTATAATGTAATGGACCATATTGCACTCCAGGAAAACTAGACACCAAAATGCCTATTAAGTGAGCTAGCTCTCTGATTGTAAGCTTTGGGTGCTTTAAGGTATGTAAACACAAATTTTTTAAATTAACTGTTTTCTCTGGTGTCAATGTAACTCGCATTTTAATGGAGTCCATGACAAACCCCAAAAAGGTAAGCTTTTGTACAGGTTCATAGACAGATTTATCTGGATGGATAATAAACCCTGCCAGATTCAACAATTCGTCAGTTTGCAAAACATTATCTTTACATTCTTGCCTAGTGTCACCTTGGAGATAAGAGTCATCAATGTAGCTTGTATTAAGATGGCCCAGCTGTCTAAGCATAGCATATATTGGTTTTACAATCTTGGTAAACACTCGTGGGCCAGAAGCTAGTCCATTAGGCAAGCATGTAAACTGGTAAAGTGTGCCTTTCCAGTAAAATTTTAGGTATTTTTTGTAGTTTACGTCAATAGGCACAGAATAATAAGCATCTCGGAGGTCAATCGATGCCATATGGCACCCTGGTCTCATTAGAGCAACAGCCGACTGTAGGGTTTCCATTTTAAAATGGTGATATTCAACATTGGTGTTCAACTCTTTGAGGTTTAATATCAGTCTATGGCTGCCATCTTTCTTGGCACGAATGAAAATTGGGGAAATGAATTCCCCTTGACAATGCTGTGTAACTTCAATTACTCCCTTGCACATAAGTTTATCAATTTCATTGTCGATGATGCATTGTTCTTTATCATTAAATTTTGTTTCAGGATTGCGAGACCAATTATGGCCACAGATCGCCTCAGGCTTGAATTCAATTTTATAGCCTGCTATTGTTTCAAGTATGAATTTATCAGATGTCAATTTTTCCCAAAAGTGAATAAATTGTTTCAGTCTACCCCCTATTTTTATACTGTGAGAAAATGTTCGACTTACCTTTTCGGTAGTAGATGAACTCAGTTTGCAAATTTTTTGAACTTGCCTCGTTGATACCTCTTGTTGTGGAAGGGTAGCGACGCACTCGCTACCTGTCTTTCGCCTAAAAAAGGCCTAGGTCGTATGTTACGATTTCGTCCCCGATAACTGTAAGCCGGGGCTCTGGCATAAGGTTTGTTGTTATGCCTGGTCATTTTCCGACCGACTTTATTGACCTCTGTAAGGTCCTTGACCTGCTTGGAGAGATCATCCCCAAACAACTGGGAAGACGAAGGCACTGAGGCCGAGCACAAATGCTTGTAATCTTCGTGAAGGTCAGGTTTTATCAACTCCTTTCGACGAATATTAAGCTCAGAATTCGCATGAGCACACAAAGCAATAGCATCAGTCATGCTTTCAACAATCTCCTTCCCCGCGGGCAAGGTGGTCACATGTGCCAGCGCTGTGTCAGTGGCGCGAACAATTGCCGCCATGCCTTTGATCAAAGCCGTTTGTACTTTTTGAAATCGAAGGTCTTGTGACCTAGTATTTGGTTGTAAATTATCCCAAATAAGCTGATTTACCCTCACTTTGGACAATGCCTCGCAGTTTTCTGGGCTTGGATACTTGTTTAGTTTATCTTGGAGTTTTTCTTCTGATAAACCTTTCTGCACAAGTCCGTTCACTATTTCAGCAAGGTCATCGTTAACCTTGGGGCCCGTTTCAGCCGTTTTCATTTCTCCACGTATGCCATCAAGCACACTAGGCTCTTTAGCCTGTTCAGTAGCATTTTGAGTCTTAGCTCGTTCAATCATGCGTTGCACATTAGTGCCGTCTGAGACGTCAGGCTCTTCCTGACTGTGTCTGTCGTTTTGGCGGCCATTTTCGCCATCACTGCCATTAGTTTCAAGTTCTCCTTCTTCTAGTTCTGTGAGAAGTTCGTCCTCAATAGGATCTACATCGAACTTGTCAGAGAAATTTTTAAATGCATTTTCTATCGCCGTAGATAGACTAGTTGCCATTTTAGCAAACCCTTGCTCCAAGGTTTGCTGTAGTTGTGTTTGCTCATTAGAGCGTGAATCGGCCGTTTGTTCAAGCAGACTATGTGGTTCACGCCTCCTGCCGCTTGAACTGGCCGTCTCGCTAGATTCACGGTGGACATCCACCTGCACCTCATTAGAGGTTTTACTTGTCATTATTTAATATTTCAGCAATATTTAAAAATTGTTTCTTCGCTCAACAAATATTCCGACCGTCTCGCTCAAGGAACAACAACGCACTGATCTGCTCAGGCGCAATGCTATCTCATGGGAGCCCGCTATGCGGGTGACAAGGTGGAATGGAATTGTCCCATGATATGGTAAATTTTCCATAATTTTGGTCCTCTATCTGCCTTGACTATATTGCTATGTTAGTCTATTACATTGCCGGAATTACAATGTCATCCAATCCTCACGTTGTATATAAATTAAGCTTACCAAAAAATGAAAAAAATATTTGCAATTGTTCAGAGCTGGGGCTATGGGTACAGTTATAAATATGCGTAAATTAGTTCAATTCCAATATGTTACCTGATTGCTTACGTCCCACAGTTTCAAATCTGTATAAAATCAGGTTAATATTTCCCTACATGTTTCCCACAATGTATTGCAATTCATTGCTTGACCCTGTCGTTACGTAAGCACCTCTAAGGTCCATTGTCTTGCGTTGTCCTTACAGACCTTACAATGTGCGGTTCGGCTGATTACTTGCCATAACGCAACGAAAACAACTCAGAAAATATTTAATCAAAAATCTTCAAAATGTTAGTTTTTTTCTGATTTCATCCATTCCCCGGTCATTCCCTTCCCCGTTCCCTTCCTCGTTCCCTTCCCCGTCCCCGTCCCCTTCCCCGTCCCTTTCTTCCATTCCCCGTTCCCCGTTTCAAAGATATAGCCGCGTAAAAAACTATGTAAATGACAACCTCGTTCCCAGGGTATTTGCTCTTGGGAACATACATAATTTTACATAATTTTTCGTTTGCTTGACAAGAAAATGTTTATTCAACATTATAAATAATTATACAGCAAGCGCTAATTTCGCGTCTCATGCGATCTCTAAATTAAGGTCCAAATCGATAGTCATATCGAACCTTTCGAATCGATCTCAACTAATTTCGTATTTCAAATAATAATAGACACAAAGACTACAGTCAAGGAAACAAGGATTCCTGGTTACAGGTACTACCAGCTGGTATAAATACGGTAAATTATGTATTAAATAAATACTCTGTGTTGTTGTGATGAGGTTACTACAATGATGAATACGCTGAAGAAAGAATTCTCGGTACAGAAATTATCGTTAAACTTGAACCATGGCGATAGCATTTATGAATCTTGGGTAGGTAGTATTAATACATTTGTACTCATATATAGTCACAATTCAAGACAGTATAAACCGTGTAGTTGTACTTGTACGAAGATTTTAGCTTTGTCTTTGCACGAGAGATTTATTATTCTTCAGTTCAATATGGGCCTGTAGAAAATCGCGGTATTCGAGTCCTAGATTTAAACGACACCTCACAAAACTCGTAAAACAGATAGCAGTCGGAATATTTGACCGAGTCTATTTAGTACGATATCGTGACTGAATCAACAAAGGAACCAAAATATCTGTACATGTCGCACACTCGTTGAGTTCTGGTGCAGTGATACCGACACGTACGTCATGCATGCATGCGGTTCATGATGCCATACTGTATATACCTCAATGATAATGATATACCTCTAACTTGCCCGAAATATCAAATTAAATAGCTGTGTAGTTATATCTAGTACCGAGTCAGTGCCTATGCGGAATTACTACGCTAGCTTTCAGGACACTGTGGAGAAATCTTAATTCATTAACTGATCAAACAGCCAAACCAGGCATATGGCTTTGATCAGTAACAGAGGCAATTATGGAAACTAGATTGAGTGTTGCCAAGCAAAAGAATGTCAGGAATTTCCTCCTTTCCGACAGAAAAGATGCCTTTAATCTTTTTAATTTATGAAGGGTCGTACGTAACAGTTAGAGTAAAACAAATGCTAATAATCTTATCAATCGCATTTATAAGATTATTTTTTATTTAAATAGACAAAAATAACTTATGTATTTTCTCTAAAGAGTAAAGAGCTGATTACATGGAGAGTTTTCAAGGCCCCCTTGGAAAAATTCTGACCAGTACAAGCATGTGCATTATATTTTCATTTCTTGTAATGGAAATTTATATCTTCCTATGTTTTAAATGCTTCTGCCTTCTGGTTCGTTTGTGATTATAATATAGCATTTGTAAATTCTGAACGCTGATTGGCTGACATTTAACAATTATTCGCCAAATTATCGGGGAATATTCGCCGAGACGAAGTCGAGGTGAATATTCCCCGATAATCACCGAGCCTGAGGCGAATAATTGTTTTAGTATTTTTGCACAAGCTTTTGTGTTTTTTAAGACTGAATTTATTTTAATTTCGCTTATTTCTTTGTCAGTAAACTTCCACAAAACGGGTAGCCGCCATTTTGAAAATTTCTGTTTTGTTATTGTCACCAGTTGTAGGTGAATCTAACAGCTTATTACGTCAAATTTGACCAATCAACGTGTAAGATTTGTTATGTTCACTTGTGCAAAAATACTAAAACTCAATGTCAACACGGAAAATTACTTTCTTTATAGTTCTTTGTGCTGTGTTATTAAAAAATAGGTATGCATTGCGTACATGTGGTTAGCCAAAAGAATTGGCAATTGTTACAGCGTCATATAGCTGATTTCGTTCAAAATAAGTAAATTAAGGTGGCTCCATACACTTTTCATCATTGGGGGACTGGTACATAATCTTGAGTTTTCGCGTGAAAATGTTAAAAATAATAAAATAGATGCAATTTAATGCAAAAATAAATACAACTTTTTCAGTCTATAATCCGAACCACAAATCATGTTTATTTTGATGTTTTGAGTCTTTCCTTGTTCTCATTTGTTCTCAAAGAACAAACTTCGTCCTGATTTAGCTCTGAACATTGAATAAGTAGTCTTTTTAGAAGACATTTTAAGGTAAAAAATGCAATGTTCAACGTTCAAACTCTTGTGAAAACCGGCGATCGGCTCGACCGGCGAAACGTTTTTTACTCCAATATTTGGCGATTTATAAGTTCATATCCAGAGATTTTTTGTACTTACAACTGGTAAATGTATTCAAAGTGTTACTAACAGCAAAGGAATTCAGTGAAACAGCATCATGCGCCGGCTCAAACTGTTTTAACTTGTCAACAACATGAAAACACACAAGTTACGACTGAAAACGAATATAAAACTATGTAGAAAAGCCAAAAAGTTCATACATGTCACACATATCTTATACCAAACGACCGACAATCACCTGTTTTCTTCGGGCGCGTTATCCCGATTTAGCATGCAAAACTAAATATATTTGTATTTCTAAGCAAGAAAACACAATATATATTTGATATTTCGACGAGACTAAAAAGTAAAAACTTTTTTGTGCGTGTTTTTCTGGAGATGCGCCTGCGAAAACATGTACGCGCATGTCAATTCATTGATCTTGCAGAATGTGAAAAACTTTGGCCGCGCGGAATAAAACCGTGATTATTTCCAAAACGAGTTCGGTAAGGTACCCTGAAAATTTGTACATGAGTAGATATCTACATACTTCAAGATTTCATGATGGAAAAATAAAAAAAAAATTGTCGACAGAAACTGTCAAAAAAGTCGAAATTTAATTCTAAAGAATTGAGTCGACAGATTTTTTTAACCCAGAAATGTTTCTCGACACTAAGGTAACAGTTGATTTATTAAAAAAAAATTGGGGTCACCGAACTCATTTTGGAAAAAAAAACTCGAAAAACTGCGATATTTTCGGCTATTTAGTGTTACCATTATTCGTTATAGTTGTCATGGAAACGCGATTTTTATCAGAATTCTTCTTGTTTGCGACACGTCTTACTATGTGTTACAAATATAAGTAAAACTTAACCCTGTAAAAGCATTTAAACAGAAAATATTCAACTTTTGCTCCTTTGGCTAAAAAGTGTATTGAGCCACCTTAATTGCTCGTTTGCAATCGAACTCATCTTGGTTGATTTTTCAACGATTGAACCATAAAATTTTTATTCTTCATTCTTTGTCGTATGAAGCCAGATACAGTATAACATAGCCATAATACATGCAGCGACTTTTTTAAAAACAAACCAGAAAATATTAAATTAACTCTACTACTTCCTCGTGAACGGCTAAAATAAAATTTTAAAACTCTTTCTCGCTCAGTCCCAAGCATCGTAGGTCGCTAGAAGCTGCCAACCTTTGGATGTTCATATCTTGAGTTGAGCTTGAAAAATATGCCCGGCCACCAACACAGAAAACAATTAGATATTCTGAAATACCGAATAAAAGATGCAAATCTGTAGATATAAACTTGAAAATAACACTCTGAATAGTGTTTTGGATTGTGATTCGAACAAGACTATTACGAAAATATGTTGAAAGGGGCCGAAGTTCTGTTCGGCGTAAGGTTATGAGGCTATGCACTTATGCCTTAGTAATACATTGACATTGTTTACATTGTTCGGGAAAATTGTGTGAAATATAGTATCGCTTGACTTCTAAAGATCGTAAATCATGTTCATGTTGACATTTTACTAAAACCATCCATAGGAATTGTTTCACTGAATTGAACGGTGGTATATTCATCCACATAGCATACACTGAAGCAAAGATATGAACCTGCAAAGTAAGATTGGCAACCTCGTTCCCAGGGCCTTTTTTTCTTTCTGTTCCCTGGGAACGAGGTTGTAAGATTGGTTTAAATTTAATTATGCGCAAACGAAAGAGTATGCCTAATGCCTTTAACTACAAAATTTCATAAACCAACGGCTCTTTCGTATGCCTTTAACTACCAAATTCCATAAACGGCTCTTTCGTATGCAATTGTTGTCAATAAGTGCTGCGCTTACTCGGCAGGCGGTACTTAAACGAGTAAATAATGGTCGCCAATATAATCTCATTACAGGTGTTACCACCATGGGCTTTACTTCTCCTTCGACTTTGTATATCCACATTTTGTGTAACCATTATGATTGTTAGTATTGCTCGAGGAGCGGATTCAAGATGGCTGATTTACCTCACAAATTGGAGCTATTTCCTGCTTACTATGTCAATGATCGGACTAACGCTAATTAGCATATTCCACGTTTTGAAGAACAAAAAGGACTCGGAAAATAATTGGCGAAGGGAAGAGTACTTAATGAAGAACACCAAAACTGTATCAGATACTCAAATCACAGTTACTGAAATTCCAGATACGGAATTGCCAATGCCTTTGGATGATGGTGGGTGTATTGTTACACCATCTTTAGTCTGGTACGAGAAGACCGTGTGGTTTCTGTGGGTTATTTCAGCCAACGCAGGTTTGGTTGTCACCGTTGAGTACTGGTTACTAGTATTCAGACCTCCAACAAGCTTTATGGATATATCTGTTCACGCATTAAATTCATTTTTTATTCTGACCGAGTTATTCACTGGAAAACTACCTGTCCGTATTTTACACTGGGTTTACGTGATGATATTTTCTATAATTTATGCTGTGTTTACTATAATTTACTGGGCAGTTGGCGGAGTGAATGGTAGAGGAGACCCCTTTATTTACCACATATTAGACTACGAAAATGGCAAGCCTGGTTCAATAGCGGCTGTGTTGATTTGTTCTGTTTTTATTGTTGCGCCTTTGGTACAGTTTATTTTATACGGATTACACCGAATTAGACTTCGGATGGACAAGAAGAAAAATACCAACAATAACAATATCAATAATGTAGTTATTTGATAAATATTTATTATTTTGTTGTAGAAACATATGTTAGTATAATGAAAAACGTAAAATTAAAATGATTCGCCTGAAAGGTGCGTGAATTCAGTTCATCTTCCCAAATTGAAAAATAGGTACATAAGCGTACATGTATCTGCGCTCACTCAAATGCTGTATTTCTTCGTGTTGTTGTATTTGTTGACTGTACTTTTTCATTATACTTGTTATCACCATTGTTATTCTTGTTCACGTACGAATTGTAGTTGTGATTGTTGTTGATGGACTTGTTCAATAATCTAGCTTAGTATATCTCAAGATAGTATTACAGTTATAAATGCATGTTAATGTTATATTAGTTGACCTGCTCCGAAGGATTTAGTATGGCTTATATTCAGTAATGCAGATGTATTTCAACCTCATCCCATTTACGTAAACGTCCAAGACCAAGTTGTGATTGGTTGGATCAGTGAACATATGTTAACGACGACTTAAAGCAACTTAAAATGACCAGCATGAGCTCCACCTTTGAATTTACTATAGGAATAAATTATTAAACACGTACGAATTTATCAATTTTAATTCGCGGCATCTAACCCCTAAATTCGCGGCACCTAACCCCTAGATCGCAGACAATAATCGTCCTGTGTCTTTGCTAATTGCAGTATCAAAGATTTGTGAACGAGTTGTATTGAATCAATTGACTGACTATATGTCACAAAGGAAAAGATATACTGAACACCAAAGTGGCCATCGAAAATTACATTCTACAGAAACATTAAACATTTTTATAACAGATCAAATCTTGCAGTCTATGGATCGTAAAGAAGTTACGGCCTTAGTTTTAATAGACTTAT